ACCGTACTTTCCGTCTATTTATGATGACTATTGCGATTACCGGAGATTCTATGTTTAAATTTCCGTTTTATGGATTGTCAAAAACGTTTAATAAGGTACAGATCCTTCATATGAATTGTTTCCGTTAAATTTTTAAGTATTGTAATATTGAAAATGACATGATGTAGGTCGACACGTCTATATTTGTAATCTTGTATTTTTAATTAATCTTGGAGCATTAAATATCCAGCTCTGGCTCGTAGCCCTTATTTTATTCTTATTTTTTTATATTGTTATACTTTTAGCGTTTTCGCTACCGCTCGGAGATCGTTTTATTTCTAGTTTAGTTTTCCTAATTTTTTTTCTTTGTAGAAACCAAAAATTATCATAATGACGCCAGGCTTAAGGAAAAATCGATGCATTGAAATAAAATTATTAAACGAAGTATCAAATGAAGGGCTAGTGAGCCTTGCACGAACTTAGCGCTAAAATTACAAATATTTAATAATAATAATTATCACCCAAACGTTTCGGCTCCGCATTGAGCCATCTTCAGTGGGTAAAAATACAAAAAATTTTTATTACTTCTACATTACATTAGCGCTTTGTTCTTTCCGCTCGCACGAAGGTTGCTTCTCGCTCGTTGTGAGAGCGTTCGTTGGAAAATCGCAATCATGTGATCCCATCCTCAGATGACAATTAAACGGATCGTATCGGAGGAAACGCATATTACATCTGTCCAAGAACAACAGAGAATTCTCTATGATCAAATTTTGTGCTTGTCACTCAGCTGACTAACGTTCCGCCAGACATCGCGGTTTTTATACATTGACTCAAGGTACTGTACATTTTCGGTGTTATTTTGATTATAAGTGTCGTTAATTACGTGATCATAGAGAATTCTCTGTTGTTCTTGGACAGATGTAATATGTTTTTCCTCCGATACGATCCGTTTAATTGTCATCTGAGGATGGGATCACATGATTGCGATTTTCCAACGAACGATCTCACAACGAGCGAGAAGCGACCTTCGTGCGAGCGGAAAGAACAAAGCGCTAATGTAAAGTAGAAGTAATAAAAATTTTTTGTATTTTTACCCACTGAAGATGGCTCAATGCGGAGCCGAAACGTTTGGGTGATAATTATTATTATTAAATATTTGTAATTTTAGCACTAAGTTCGTGCAAGGCTCACTAGCCCTTCATTTGATACTTCGTTAATTTTTAAAATTATTAAAGTCCTTATTTGCATATTGAAATCGCTGTCAGTTATATACTTTAATAATTTAAAAATTAATTTATTATTGGACCAAATGCGAGTAATATTGCATCGCGAAACGTTAAATAGATAATATTTTTTACTGTAACGTTTGTTACAAAAAATTAGTCCAGTCTACTCCAGTCAGCGCCGTCAGCCGTCAGTGGTCAGTCGCGGTCGTCGTTGCTTGTCAGAAAAATTTCGTATAATATAAATACGCACAAAATCTCGCACAAAATAAATTATCTGGGTCAAAAATTATTAAAAATGGAAAGCGGAGAAAAAATGGATAACGATCAATGTTCATCAGTAAGTATTTCCAGTAAGGATGATCAATAATCTCATAGGTTAGGAACCGATAAGTGGTATTTATATTTATATAAATATAGTATATTCGAAAATAATGTAAGTTATAATTATTTTTCAGTTTCACGAGATACGTGAAATAGCAAAAAAAGCGATAGAGAGCTACGCTGAAGTCTTGCGAAAAGCATTAGAACATTATGAAAGTGAGTATATGTATATATATATATATATATA